CCTTCAAGGGCAGCATCTTTACACCAGCACAGGCAGGATTTGGGAGCTTTATCCCCAACCTGGAACACCAGCACTGACCCTTTTGGCCAGGATTTCTGCTAAGCTCCTTCTCCCTGCCCAGCCCCTCCCAGCCTGGCACCAGAAAGCAAACAAGGAGCTCTGGGAGCTGCAGGATCTGCAGAGCCTGGCTTTCAGCAGGCTGGAGTCTCTGGGGGGACAGACCTGGGTGCCTGGGAGGGCACAGACCCTGACTGAAGCTTTTCCCACGGTTTGGGCATCAATCAAATGTCAGCTCCAGTGGATTCTCCAGTGTCTAATAAGGTCTGACAGCATGTGTTGGTTTTTCTCACAGCTGCAGCCCTGGCAGGGCCATTCTTTGCCCAGCTGTTTGTAATGGCAGGAGCTCAGCTCTAACCACTCTCAGTTTTTACAGAACTGGCCAAAGGGTTAAAAAGATTTTGAAGAGAATAATTTGGAGGAACATGAGTGGGCTGATATACAATGTGCTTGCATAAGCTCTGTTACATTAGGAAATCAAAATAATCGACCCTTTTCCCTCTAAATGGGACAGAATTTAAAATCCAAATGCTGAGCCTGGTAGTGCAAAATCCTCTTTTAAACTTTGCTCCACGACCTCCAGACACACTTCAGAACTTCAAGTTGCTGCTTTATCTTCAAGCTTAAGCACAGGAGAGGCAATCTTTGCACTTCAGGTCCCTGTAGAAAAAACGTGGCCCCCACCAGAATGACTCTTGAGTCAGGCTGTGAGCAGCCCTGAGGAGCCACAGAGATATGCAGGTTTGTAGCACACCTCATAGCCAAGGCAGAGACTGGGACTGGAAACGTGTCTCTGACATTCTACAGGAAGCTTTGAGGCCTTCAAAGAGTAAAAAGGCTGTAAAGGGTCCAGAGGTATTTCTCACAAGGAATAAATTAGCTGTGAGGAGACTGCACAGCTCAAACCAGGTATTCTGCAAAAACAGCTCCATAACTGAGATTCACAGGGTGGATTTGTGCCCTGGAGCTGGGCTGGTCCCCAGAGCAGCTCTGCTTCCTGCAGCCTCACGTGCCAGCTCTGTGCACACACAGGAGCAGCATCACCTCAGCGTGTCCCCAGCTGCCCCCAGCACGGGAGCTGCACGTTCAGGGACAGGGTGAGTGTGACCTTTGCAATCTCAGCTCTGACAGCACTTCCTGCAGGGTGACAGCACAGAGCTGCTTCTCCTCTGCCTCTCACTTGGGCTGGAGAAGATCAGGGACTGTTTCTCCCTCAGAGCCCACTGCCAGGAGCATCTCTTTTGGTCACTCCAGTCTGAACATGCTCTACTGCTTGGAAAGCTTTAAAAAGCCCAGGTGGCTGGTGGAGTAAAGGCTTTCCTAAAGCAAAACATCTCTGAAGCCTTCATCCATCCAGCTTCATCGCCTGCCAGCCTCTCAAGGGACACACAAGCTGGAAACACCCTGGAAGGGACCAGCCCATCCTGGTGCTGCAGCCAGGCTGATCCTGCAGAGCCCTTTGGAGATTGCATTGAGCAACTGTTGAAGGATTTCTCCAGCAAATTGTGCTTTGCAGACCCACTGGGAACCTTGCTGTATCTCAGACCTGACACAGGCTGGCTCATCTCAGATATTCATCAAAGGAGACCTCCTGCTCCTGAGCATCCTGCTTGGAGCTCTCCTTGAAGAGGAACAGCAGCTCTGCAGGTGCTGCTGCTGTGCTGTACTCACAGCTCCCTGCAGCCTATGGCAGAGCTCACCTCTGCTCACCCAGCGCCTTCTTAGAATCACACAATCAGAATGAAACAGAATTGTTTAGGTTGGAAAAGCTCTCTAAGATCATCAAGTCCAACCATTACCCCATGGCTGCCAAGCCCACCACTAAGCCATGTCACCAAGTGCCACATCCACGGGGCTTTTAAATCCCTTCAGGGATGGTGACTCCACCACTGCCCTGGGCAACTTGTCCAATGCTGGACAATATTTTCTGGTAGAAATTTTCCCTTATATCCAACCTAAACCTCCCATGGTGCAACTTGAAGCTATTTCCTCTTGTCCTGTTGCTTGTTCCCTGGGAGAAGAGATCAATCCCCATCTGGCTACAACCTCTTTTCAGGCAGATGTAGAGAGTGAGAAGGTCCTTCCTGAGCCTCCTTCTCTCCACACTGAGCCCCCTCAACTCCCTCAACAGCCCTCGTGTTCCAGGCCCTTCCCCAGCTCCATTCCCTTCTGTGGACACCTCCAGCCCCTCAATGTCACCTTGTCCACCAAACACCGTTTCTGAGGTGTGACCTCAGCAGTTCCCAGCCCAACAGGGAGGGCAGTCGCTGTTCTGGTCCTGCTGGCCAGGTCTGAACCTACTTAGCAACAAAAATAGCAGAAAATGAGGGGAGCCATCGATGGAGTGCCCAACTCTTGCGCACGATGTGTCCGTCGGGTACCGGTGAACCGGCAGCAGCTCCGGGGATGGTTCGCGGCTGCCCCGCGCTCCTGGAGCGCTGCAGTGGGTGCGCCCCCCGCTCCCCGCCCCGCACAGGCTCCTTCTCCCGGCTATCGGCGGGGGCAGGGAGCAGCCAGAGCCCCGCCGAGCCGCCGGAAACCCCCGCCCCACCGAGACACGGGGACCCCTGAGCCGCCGGGGATGCCCGGACCGCCGGGACCTGCCGGGTTCCCAGACTCCCCGAACCTCCGGGGATGCCCGAACCGCCGGGACCTGCCGGGCTCCCGGGAATGCCCGAACCGCCGGGACCTGCAGGGGATGCCCGAGCCGACGCTCCCGGCGGAGTCGGGCGGCACCTGCGGGCAGGTCCCGCTACTGCAGCGGCGGCCGCGGGAACGGCACGGCCGGGACGGCTCCGGCGCGGGAACGGCCCCGGGGTTGAGCCCCGGGCAGCGCCTCCGCCCCCGGCTGTCACGGTTCGGCACCGACACGGCTCGACCGAGGATGCCGCTGTCTCCGCCGGTGCCTCTGGGAGCGGCAGGATGCTGCCAGTCCTTCCCCGGGAGCTCTCCAGGCTGGCACGAGGGTAAAGCAGCTTTTCAGACCCCAGCAGTGCTCCTGGCTATGGATGGCAGCGTTTCCCATTGATAGAAAAGCTGCGAGGCCGAGCTGCAGCCAGGGGTTCACTGCCAGCCCCATGGTGCAGGGGGTTTGGAAGCTCCAAGCGTTTCCTCACAACACACACTTTTTTTAAAAAATGTGATTTCTTATCATAATCTGAAGGGACAGACTGGATTGAGAATCATAGGAAATCACAAGCCCAAATCATGGAATCCTGGAATGGCGTGGATTGGAAGAGACCTTAAAGCTCATCTCATCCCAGCCTCCTGCCATGGACACTTCCAGTGAACCAGTTGCTCCAAGCCCAGTCCAACCTGGCCTTGAACAATTCCATGGATGGGGCAAATATTCATGGAAATATCTAAAAATCCCAAACACACACTACAAAGCAGTTCCTGAAGACGTGGGAGCCTTTATGGGCATCTGTGAGCTTCCAGTTAAATGAATTGCTAAAGAAAATCGTAAGGGCTGGTGGCCCGGTCACACAGCAGGAGGGAGCAGCCTGGCAGTCACAACTCCTCACTGCAGCTGCTCCCAAGATCTGCACAAATTGCAGGCAGAGGAAGGACCCTGCTTTGTCTGCAGAGGTCCCTGGGTGAGAGCTGTGGAGATCCCACTGTGAGCTGGATGGGTGAAAAAGAGGAAAATCCAGAGTGCTGGACAGGTAGAAAATGTGGGAGGCACTTTGGGTCTGTCTGATCCCCCAGTGCAGAGGCAGAGGGATCAGCTCAGGGATGCTGCTCGCATGGGTGGGGGTCAGGGTGGAGTTTTCACTGCAGGAGTCCCATTTGGGGCCTATTTTAAACACGTCCCCCACGTCGCCGAGCGCACGTCTCGAGGATTGAAATAGATGGCGGTTTGATCATTGTCTCTCCCAGGGAAATGGTTTTTAATGAGGTTTTAAATAATAAAGTGGGATAATTTCCCTGGCTGGCAAGATCATGAAATTTTTATGCCTCCTTTCTCTCCCAAAGTTTTATCACCCTTTATTTTTAGTGATGTATAATCCCCACTTTTCAGAAAAGAAAAAAAAAAAAAGCAGAGAAACCACTTACACAGGGAAAGCCACTCCTGAGCAGTGAGCCTTAGGTGGGAAACAATCTGGGGGAAGCTTCACAGACAGCCCTTCCTCATCCCCTGGGGATGGGAGAACACCCCAGAGGAGCAGAGGGGATCCCCAGGGTTGGTGCAGGGTGCCAGTATTGGTGCATGATGCTGATGCAGGGTGTAAGTTTGGGGTGCAGGGTGTGAGTACTGGGAGCCAGTGATGGGTACGTGATGCTGGTGCTGGGTGCCAATAGTGGATGCATGGTGCTGGTACTGTACCAGCACTCGGTGCTGGTGCTGGTTATCAATAGTGGGAGCACGGTGCTCATCCTGTGTGCCAATATTTGACACCTGGTGCCAATATTTGACACCAGTACTGGGTGCAGGGTGCTGGTACTGGGTACCAGCACTGGTTCTGTGATGCTGGGCACAGCAGTGGGTGCCTGGTGCTGGTTATCAATAGTGGGAGCATGGTGCTTGTCCTATGTGCCAATATTTGACTCTGGGTGCTGGTGCAGGGTGCTGGTACCGGGTGCAGGGTGCTGGTACTGGGTACCAGTGCTGGTACTGGGTACCAGTGCTGGTACTGTGTGCAGGGCGCTGGTACTGCGTGCAGGGTGCTGGCACTGTGTGCAGGGTGCTGGTTCTGTGATGCTGGTGCCGGGCACAGCCGTGGGTGCCCGGTGCCGGGGGCAGGGGCCCGGGGCGGTGGGTGTTGCGGGTGGGTGTCAGCGTGTGAGTGTGCGTGTGTGTGCCGTGAGGAAGTGCCAGGGCTGCAATCGCTTTCGGAAGTGGCCGGCGGGGCCGGGCCGGAGCCTGCGCAGTGCCGCCGCCGCCGCTCGGCTCCCGCTGCCGCTCCCTCTCCCTCCGGTGCCCAGCCCGGCGGCAGCGCAGCGGCGGCGGCCGGGGGCGGCGGCGGCGGCGCGGATGCCCGGCCCGTGAGTACCCCGCGCCCCGGCCGGGGGCTGCCGCGGCCGGGGGGGACGCGCTCCCCTCGCCCCCCTCCCTCGCCCGCTGCCCAGCCCAGCCCCGCTCCCCCGCCGGACCCCGCTTTGCCCACCCCGCTCTCCCTCCCCCAGCCCCTCCGCACGCTCCCCCTGCATGGACCCCCGCCCCGAGCATCCTCCCTCCTGCACCGCTCCCCCCACACGCGCGGAGGATGGAGAGCCCTGCCCGTGCCTGTCTGTCTGTCTGTGCGTGCGTCCGTGTGTCCGGCTGCCGCCTGTCACCGGCCCCGTGTGCGAGCGCTGGGGCGGGGGGATGCTGCGTGGGGAGCGGGCGGCGGGGCGGGGGGGACCCCGAGCACCGAGCAGGGAGGGGGAACTCCCCGCCGCATCCCCCCAGGGGAGGGCAGGGCTCCTGCCAGGAGGAGGAGGATGGAGAGGGGGAAGGAGGGGGGCACGCTCCAGCCGCAGGGCCGGCTGCGCCGGGGTTTGCCCAGCCCGGGGCGGGGGCTGCAGGGAGGATCCCCCCCCGAGGCCTCCCCGGCTCTCCCGCACCCACAGGTGGGTGCCAGGGCGGTGCCGGAGCATCCCCGCAGCGGCGCGGCCGGGCAGGGCTCCGTGCCCGTGCGGCTCCCCGGGCTCCGTGCGGAGGGTGCCGAGCCTCGCCCGGGCTCGGGGCAGCGCTGAGCCGGGCTCGGGCAGCGCCGGGGCTCGGGGAGGTTGCCTGAGGTCAGGGCAGCCTCGGGCTGCGGTGCCCGCGGGTTCTCCAGCACAGCACGGCCGAGGGCTGGCTCAGGAACCTGCCTCGGGGGTGTTGGGGACGCGGCTGTCCCCAGAAGGGCCGTGACATGCGAGTGTCGCCCGACACGAGCCCATCACGTGCGCGGCGTCGTGGGATGCCACGCTTGGTGCTGGGCTCGGTGGCCCGGGGATGGAGAGGGACAGCGCGGCCACCGCGCCCTGTGCCGGTCACCATGCCCTGTGCAGGTAACCGCGCCCTGTGCAGGTCACTGTGCCCTGTGTGGGTCCCTGTGCCCTGTGCGTGTCACCATGCCCTGTGCATGTCACTGTGCCCTGTGCGGGTCCCTGTGCCCTGTGCGTGTCCCCGTGCCCTGTGCGGGTCACTATGCCCTGTGCGTGTCACCGTGCCCTGTGCCGGTCACCATGCCCTGTGCGGGTCCCCGTGCCCTGTGCGTGTCCCCGTGCCCTGTGCGTGTCACTGCGCCCTGTGCGGGTCACCATGTCCTGTGCAGGTCACTGCGCCCTGTGCCGGTCACTGTGCCCTGTGTGGGTCCCTATGCCCTGTGCGGGTCACCGTGCCCTGTGCGTGTCACCATGCCCTGTGTTGATCACCGTGCCCTGTGCGGGTCCCTGTGCCCTGTGCCGGTCACCGTGCCCTGTGCGTGTCACCGTGCCCTGTGCGGGTCACTGTGCCCTGTGCGGGTCACTGCGCCCTGTGTGGGTCACCGCGCCCTGTGTGGGTCACTGTGCCCTGTGTGGGTCACCGCGCCCTGTGCGGGTCACCGTGCCCTGTGCGGGTCACTGTGCCCTGTGCGGGTCCCTGTGCCCTGTGCGGGTCCCTGTGCCCTGTGCGGGTCACTGCGCCCTGTGCGGGTCACCGCACATCCCCCGGCACCCAGGGGCTCCCCAGGAAGCTCCCTCTCCCCGCTGCTTCCATGAGGCTGCTCTGGCACCGATCCACGGCCTTATTTAAGAAACTAAACAAAACGTGTGAAGCGAGTGGGAGGGATTCCCCTGCTGCGAGGGGAGTTCATTCCCCTCTGGATGCGCCTCCATCCCCGTCAGTGGAGATGCTCATCCCGTGTCACGCTGGGTGAGCGGACCTGTGGCATTTGCTGGCCTGGTGCACGGCGTTCTCTTTGGGAAAACGGGTCACCCCAGTGGGCACATACTTCAGAGTATCTCCCAGGGGAGAGCGCCACATCAGACTTCCCTACAAGGATTTTAGCTGCTCCGCGTCAGCCCTTCCCCACAAATGACTCAAGCCACTGATCAAAATACAGTCATGTTCTTCAGCAATTAAACAACCTCCACCTCACAGGATTGTAGTGGAGAAGCAGGAGTTTAGTGACACAAATATATCTCAGTCAGGGTGCAGGCACCCGTTTTGGTGTTATTATTTAAGAAAAGAAGGAACTGAAGGCAGATAAATAATTCGAATGAAACCCAGAACGGGTAAGGGAGAAAAATACCTTGGCAGAGTTGTTGGGTCTGAGTCTGCCCAAGGTGCTGGAGTGGCCCATCTCAGCCGTCTCCTGAAGTGCATCCTCTCCCATCTTGGCTGAGCTTTGGTTCTTGTCTTTGCTTTTAGGCTGGGCCTGGGTTTCAGTTGGGCTGATGTGAAGTGAGTGGGTGAGCTCAGTGCTCGAAGCTCTTCCCTGTGAGCAACAGGTCAGGAGTAGCAAAGCAGCCACTGTGTCACTCCTCAACCTCTGCAGAGCATGAGCTTGAGCTGCTGAGGCTTTTCCTCTTCTTTTTTCCCCCAGATTTTTGTCCTCTGGATAAAAATAATTTTGGAAAGCTCATGAGGACGTAAGAGCCACTCTGCCTTTCCTCCCAGCTCCTCCTGCTCCTCGGATCAGTTCATACACCAACCCCTGGCCATGCCTGAGCACCCCAAAAAAGAACAGGCCGGGCACAGCAAGGCCAGCAGGCACCCCCCCTGCCATGCCACACTCTCAGGGCTCAGCAGTGGGCTCTTGCCTGGAATAACAGCAGTTCTGAGTGATCTGGTGCCCACGGCCTTCACCCGAGACTTCCTATTGCTCAGTTCCTTATTCATCTGCACATCCCTCTCTGCATTTCCATTACAGAAGCTCTTCAGAGAGGGAGCATCTAAATGCAGCTGGTTTTATACATTATTTCATAGTTGTTACTTATTCTGGGGAGAAGAAAAGATCCTGGACCTCATCAGTGATTTTTTACACACTCCCCATGTGTTACAACCTGGTTTTCACCTGTGGGGAGGGCAGGAGAGGGAAGTGTCCGACATCTTCCGTGGTGTGAGAGGGGAAGGAGCTGAACTCGCAGGACTCCAAACACCCTGTCACAGAGGGGAAGCAGCTCTGTGGTGCCATCACTGCCCCAGCTCTGGCAGCTCAGGGAACGGGCATCCAGCCCCAGCATCTCCCTGTTCACTGCCCATCCTGCACCAGCACCACTTGAGCCTCCTCCAGCTCATTCCCATCACTGCTGGGCTCAGCCTGCCCTTTTCCTTTCCCATCTGCCACTCCATGGGTTACCCCATGCAGCACAGGGAGGGTGACCTGCAGAAAATCCTGAATCCTCACTGCCCTGGCCATCCAATGGGTGTGATGGTAACTCCAGCAACACCACTGGCCAGCTCTCCCCTCTGCTCCCACGGGTTTCAGGACATCCAGAACTTCTCACAGGGATCAAACATCTTAAATCCAGCTGTGCATGCTCTGCAGGAGCTGTTGGCTGTGCTGGTTCACAAGCCCTCGGGTGAGTTCCCTGTGCAGCTGCCCAGCCTTCCTCAGGACCTGAGGACACAGGAGCTGGTGGCTTTGGGGTAAAGCTAGTGAAGGCAGAATCCTGGCTCCATCCAGATCCTGAGCACCGTGTAAGACAAGGCAGCAACCCCAGAGTTTTGATCAACCTTTCACCCTTCTGCGAAAGCGCTCCCTGGGAGCATGGAGAATTATTTTATTTCTGTTATTTTTGGCTGCAAGTCCACTGGGTTCCTTCTTCAGAGTGGACCAGTCACAGAAACCTCCTGCCTGTGATTTTCCCCCTCCCCAGACACTGTGGAGGGCATGGAGGGTGATGCCTCAGCCCATCCCATCATATTTTCTGGATCCATAGGACCTCAGTCATTGTGGGTGAGTGCACTAGGAGAGGCAGGGAGTGCTCTGCCACTCACCCATCCTGCAAAACCTCCTGCCCTTGGCCATTTCGTGAGAGCAACATTTAACCAGCAGAAGGGTGGAGCAGCAGTGAAAACAACAGCAAAGTTCTTTGGGGTTCAGCTTCACCATTCATCTTAGACATGGAAAAAAGGGGGTTTCCTGACAGCAGGAAAATGTGTGGTCGAGTTCTCGAGCAAGCCACCCTTCCAGTTCTCCGAGCACTTGGAACCAGCCTGGGTTGACCTTTTGAGGGCTCCCTGCTGGGCTTGGGGGCCCAGGTTTGCCACACTCCACTCTCACTTGTCAGCACTTGCCCCACTCTGGAGGCAGAAATGCTGCAAAGCCTCCAGGGGAGCAGCGGGATGGGCACGGCAGAGCGGGATCACAGCGTTCCTGTGCACGGCCGTGGCTCTGGGTGCACTGGCAGCCCACTCCCAGTGCTGGAAACACCCCTGGTTCAGCCCAAAGGGGGTCAGCAAAAGGGTTTGGAGCACGGGTTTGGGGTTTCCAGCTGCTCCCCCTCCTGCAGGTTTAACCCAAGCAGGGCTGCAGCTTCCTCGACAGAAGGCGAATGCCCAAGCAGCGCTGCAGGGCAAAGGGCAGGAGAAGAACAAACAGGTACATATTGGCATTAGTGGGCAGAAAGCTTCAAGCTAGACTGGAAAACATCCACAAAAACCAAGGGAAGATGCTGCCTGAGAGCCTGGTGTGGGTTTCACCAGGAGGAGAGAGCTGGCGAAGCAGATTTGGGGCTGCAGAAATGTATTGCTGTGACAGCAGCTCATGTGCTCTGATGGGCACCCTGCAGTGTTCTGGAGACTCAGCAAAGGCCATCACCATGGCCTGTAAATCAGGGTCTCACTGAGATGCCCTGCAAGGCCCACTGCCACCATCTGAGCCCAGAATGCCTGCAATGGGCACCCACCATGGCCAGGGTCCTGTACCCCAGCTGTGCCTGCCCTGTCTGGCAGCAGGGGGATGAGCAGCTGCACTGCCAGACAGTGTCCCAGGGCATGGGGCCACACAGGGTGACAGTGCTTCCTTCCTCCCCACACTGCCAGCTCCTCCCTGGCTGATGGAGCTGAACCCTGCTCAATCTTCCCC